GAGGTGAGACTCTGTGTCCCAGAGCCAGAGGACAGAGTTCCACGGTGTATGTCTCACCAGGCAGACAAGACCCTGGGTGGATGGTCACTGTCTTCCTGAGAGCAGTTTGGTGGTGTGTCAACACGACGCATACACATCCTCTACAAGGTCCTAACCAGGAAGATTCACCACCTTGATTTTCCAGTGAGCACCAAGAACCTTTATGTGGCTTTCAGGGGTAAAGAAAGCTTTGAGAGCTAGGTGGGAGATTCACCTGGGGCCCTGGCCCTGCCACTGCCCCCCGGGGGAGCTGCTGATCTGGTCTCTGTCCATCCCTCCTCCAAGGGACACGTCTGGGCCACACCTGGCCCTGCAGAAAAACAGTGGGCAGGGGGCGACAGCACCATCCCAGTCAGCCCGTGCTGCCTCCGATCAGCCTCTGCTCACACCATGGCCGAGTTTACAGGGAAATGCTGACATGCACACAGGACTTCCCGTGTTCTCTCGGTGCAACTGAACTGCTGTAAGGAGACCCAGGCCAGTTGTCCCCATACTTGTTCACATGAACGGGCACAACAGGTCCACTTGCCTTCCTACATTTTACATACGGGGGAGGGGGGATGGTTAGGCCATGCTGCAAGAACATTCCAGATTTCAGAGTTGAAGACAAGATTTCAAAATCTGGCTTTAAATAAACATAGAATTAAAAAAAAGAGAGAGAGTGCTCGGAGCCTCCAGCAGCCGAAATTAGCAGCAGCCAGCCCTGGGCAGGGAAGCCATCTGCGAGAGTGCGAAGCAGCCCGCAAATGTCTGGGCTCCTCACTCTGGTAGGACAAGCTGGGGATGGCTGCCTCTGCTGGGGAAGGCCCGGGAGAACGTGTTGGGGCTGGGGGCTGAGTATCCCTTGACTTAGGATTCTAGAAACAGATTCTATCCGCCACCACCTAAAAACACCATTTAGGCCACATTCAAGGCACTGAAAGTCATTTACAAGGCAGAGTGAGACGAAAACCAAGGGGGCATTTTGTTCTGGAGTAAGTGGATGGTAATAGAGTGCAGGAAGCAAGGCTTGGTTTTCATCTTTGCCCAGGGAAGCCAAGTGGCCACCCTGGACTCTCCAGGGCACTTCTAGGAGCAGGTGCGTGTAGCCAGGTCTGCCTGAGCCGGGGCAGCAGCTGCTGCTCAAGCTGTCACCACAGAGCAGTCTTGTTCCGATGACAGGTGCTGACGACGCTTGGTTTTCCTACTCACCCATTCACAGCACAATCCCGCCACGGCTGGGCGCATGCAGAAGGCATAAATGTGCCTGGCTCCCCACGCTGCGGGGTGACACGGCCTCGGGCACCCACAGTTCCACAGTGCCTGTGCTGCAGCCCGCATCACCCTCCCCACCCCCACCTCAGGCACACCCAGTGTCCTGCCTCCGGACCTGGGCCTCCTGGGCTTGCTCATGCTACTGCAGGGGGCCTTGGGTGCAGAGGGCTCCACCGCAGGCCTGTCACCTGCCCGAGTTATTTAAGTCTGCATTGTCAGTTGATGTATTCTAATAGGCAAGTGGGTGACCGAGCTGGCAGACGCAGGATGACGCTGAAATGTAACGAGAGGAGAAGCACCCAAGGAAACTTCGAGGCTTGTTTGCACCCCTGTGCTCACCCCCGCGCTGCCTCCCACGGGCACCTGGAGTCACGCTGATGCTTACATAAAGGGGATGGTTGCTGGGGAAACTACCCCCCACACCAGGGTGACAGGACAGGGTTGGGGGCACATCTCCCACACCCCACCCTCAGCAGAAGGGCTCTGCCCTCCAGGGCGTGCCTAGAGGGAGATTCTGTGGGAGGTTACAGTTGGGGCTGGAACTTTCTGGGCCATGAGGCTAAGGCCAGAGGCAGGGCCACACAGGGCTCTAAAAGACTGAAAGACCATGTCCACACCTCCATCTTACAGATGAGAACGCACCTGGTCCCTTCTTCCCATGTTACCCAAAAGGGGATAGGAGGGGCCAGAGATGACTGGATCTGCTCCCTGTGCCAGAAGTAGGCCCTAGATGATGGCCAGGGAGAAGCAAGCTGTGAACCACGTCAGGCCAAGGGTTCGCCTGAGGTGCAGTGTAGGAGGTCAGGAAGAACCCACATCTGGGGTCACAGGAAATGCTGAGCTGGAACTCGGCTCTCCTAAGCAGCACAGGCAAGGCAGAGACTGGTCCTACCCATGACTGGGCTAGCTCCCAGCACTCTAACCCGCAGCCTCAGGCCACACGCTCCTTTGTTCACCATAGTCCCAGAGAAAGGCTGTAGGGTCCAGCAAACACAGACGGCCACGTTCCGTTCTCTTTTTATTTTTTTGCAGTGGGGCTAGGAATTAAGCCCAGGGTCTCATACATCCTAGGTCTACCCCCTGCTACCGTTAGCATGTTGCATTAGTGTGATACATGTGTTACAATTCAGGAGCCAGTACTGACATATATTTAAAATCTCTAAATTTTACCTAGTGTCCTGTTCCTGTCCAGGACTCCAACAGGATCCCACAGGACCTTCCGTCCTCCCTTCCCAGGTTCCCCTGGGCTGCTGTCTCTCATCCCTTGGTCATGATGGCCACAGCAGCTTGAGGGGCGCTGGTCAGAGGTCTGCTGTACTGTCCCCTGCTGCACTTGGGAAGGCACAAGTGACGGCGGTCTCTAACACTGCACTGAGACTTCTTTGGAGATGTCCTGTCAAATGCTAATTGCAATACCGATCTCTAAAACACTGGCTGCTCAGGTGAGGTCTGCACATGCCTCCTCACACTGACTCTTCCCAACACTGCTCAGCATCCTAACCTCTGCTTTTGGGGTTCAGGGAGTCTGGGGGACAAGCTGGGCAGTCAAACAGTCCGTGCCCTACTCATTAAGGCTGACAACTGGCAGGACTCTTCAGACCCTGAGCTGCTCCTTAAGTTGAACCCCAAGCCTGCCAAGGTCAGGTCTTACTCTGTCCCCCTTCCTGCAGACTGGACAAAGCCCAAGAGGCTGTTGGTGGCTGAGGTAGCCTTTCTGTAGGCAAGAGGGAGACTTCCACCTGGAGCTCCCAGCACATTCTTGCTGATACATTGCTGGCCACAAAGCTGTCAAAAGATTCAGCCTCTCCCCCCAAGAATGCCTGTGCCCTTAAGCCTGGCCAAGGCACATGGCATGCAGAGAGGCCATAGGCAATATGGGCAGGAAAGGTGTGGAGGGGACAGGGACACAGCTTTGCCCAAAGTCCCAGAAGCCCAAGCCTCTGTATCTTCCTGTCTCTCCAGCTCTGGAACTTTCTGGTTACAGATTACAAGAGCTTCAATCCAGAAATGAAAAAGGAAGGGTTCTGATTGGACAGATCCTTCCCTTGGAGAGAAGGCAAAGCTGCCAGGTGGGAGGTGGAAAGCTCTTCCTTGACAGGCACAGGTCTCCCACCATCTCCGGAGACCTTAGACGAATGGCTACCTTCCCAGCCAAGCTTAGCGAAGTGGCTGAGGGTAGAGGTGAAGGTGGGATGGCAGTCTGCTGGGGGTCACCTCCTCCTGAAGGGTTGTTTCTGCTGAGCATAGACTCCCAATCCGCATGCCTGCCTTGCCAGGAGAACAGCTTGCTTGAAATGCAAAGGCTGTCATCCTGTAATTAAATCTGAGACCCCCCTTCCTACGTGACGCTGAGATGAAGCCACTTACATAACGCAACTAAAAATAAGCTGGAGGAGACATACACACTGGCGCTCCCACCAGCCCATCTCCAGAGCTGCCCACCCTGAGCTGGAGACCAGGGTTGTCTGCAGTCCTGTGGGTCAGAGGCTTTGGGACCTGGACTCAGCATTACACATATGTAGGATGCATGGCTGGTGCTCAGGGGAGTGGACACTCCAGTTCACTGCTAGGGGCTACAGATCTCCACCCAGCAGGACCAAGAGTCCCAGGAGAGGAAAACCAGCAACATGTGGACCCTGATCTGTTTTCAGTGACTGTCCAAGAGCCTCTCTTTCACAGAAACCCGCTCCTACCCTGCTCCAGAACTTGGACTTGTAAGCCCCACTTCCAACTCTGTACAGTACAGGAAGATGGTGACCTGGGTTGGGCAGTTGGGTCTAGGAGGGTATGGTGGCTGGCAGTCTCCACTTGTGTGATATCTCTTACTATACCTCCTGGGAGGATGCAGGAAGAGTCGGTCACAATGGCTTCTGCTACTCCTGACGGATGGGTGGGTGTGAGCCCACACACAGGCCATAATTTCCCAGCTACCAGGCTGCTGAAACTTCAGCAGAGTTAAGTAGGTTCTCAGCCACCCATACTCCAAGAGTCCGAGAAGATGAGGTTTGCAATGGACCCTGGTGAAGAGGAGTCAGGGGAGGAGTGGCCTCCTAGCTCCACCTGGAGCCAGTGTCTGCACTAATCTGTGGATGCCAAGCCTACAGCATGCCTGCTCACTCAGCAATCTTAACGCCTACCCTTGGTTCCCCTGACTATTAAGAGGCTGCTACCTGGGTTAGATGGGCTTCACGAACACTGGTGAAGTCTGGCCTCAGGCTAGGATTTCCTTCTGCAGGGGGACACAATTCCCTGGAGGCTGGAGGTAAAGGCAAGTATTGGCCGTCTCTCCTTCACCCTGCTCTCTGTGTGTCACTGGCCACAGTGGGCTATGCCACAGGCGGGATGTAGGCTCATTTTCACTAACAAGTGTCCTGACACCCTTTTCCCCACTGTGGGCTTCTGTTCTGGCTGTCCAGGACTTTGGCCAGATGGACAGGCTGGAGGCTGCCAAAAGGCAAGCTGGCTTCAGTCCATCACCCATGTGAGTGTGCCCCTTGGACAGAAGCCAGGAGAGCATGGGTAGGTTGGCCAAGAAAGAGCCAGGGAAGTACAGGAGAATTCTCTCCAGGTAACTGGAAGGGCTGCCTCTGCCCTACCCATCAGCTCCCTACTGGCCTTCAGGTCAATGAGGGAAGGTCCTATGCCCAGTAGGCTCCAGGGAGCAGGCTGGCCTGAAGAATGGGGCCAGGGGAACACTTGAGACCTACCAGTTGCATGAGCCAATAAAAGCCCTCCTTTGAGAGTCAGTTTGAGCCGGCTTTCCGTCACTTGCAATCAAAAGAACGAATACACAGGTCGGTACCCTGAAATGATACAGAAAACAAAAAAACGGGGGGTGGGGGGGCAGAACCGGCGGCTGGAATGACATGAAATCAAATCTCTGTTCTGTGCTTTCTAAACCTCCCTTCCCTTTTCCATTCACAGGAAGCAAACTGAACGCAGGTCTGAGACCCCTGCTAGCTATCTGGGGTATGACACCACCCCTCAGACCGGGAGCCACAGACCCCTGTGTCCTTTAGGTGCAGGTGGTTGTTGAAGGAATGGAGTGACCAGCTGTCCAGGAACCAGATGCTGGAGTATCATGTTTAATTAAAAAAGAAACATTCAGATCTACTGTTTTACAACGTAAAGCAAATCATTTCTCTATGTTCATCTAAATTATGTAAATATTTCTCCAAAAGGAATTGTACTGGAACCCTGTGTGCCAGCCTGGACAGTGTCCTGGGCCAATCTGCCCTTAAAACACCAGTAGCGGGCTCCGCCAGGGCAGGCTGGAAGGCTCCTCCCCCAGGAGCTCTCCACCTCCACTCCCGCCCCCGCCCGTCCCCGGCTACCAGGGCAGCCCCTCCTCCCCAACAAACACCGCCCCTAGGGTACTCCCCACGCCCCTCTTCAGATCCTCCCCCCAGCCCCCCGCCCTCCCTCCCCAGGGTCCTCCGGCCCAAATCCTAGCCACTCACCGCGCGCCCACCGCTCCCTGACCCAGCCTCCAGGGTCCCGGGTCCTCCCTCTTCAGACTTCCGCACCCTCCTCCGTCCCCACCCACTCCCTCCAGGGAGGTCCTCCCCGCGGGAAGGCCGTCCGGGGTCTCCGCGCGCGCCTCGCCCACTCACCTGTGAAGTGCGGGAGCCACAGACCACGGGCGCGGCCTCCTGGCCCGGCCTGCCGGACCCCCGAGGGCCGCCTCCGCCTCCACGCGCGCCCGCGCCTCCCCCACCCTCCGCTAGCATTTCCTTTGCCACCCCGCCCCCGCCTCCCGCCCCCCGCCCGGCCGTC